TTCTCACCCAAAATCCACATAATTCTTTAGCCTGGACTACTATCCAAATTATCATTTGATTACTAGCTGCCCTATTCAGAATGATCTACTTTATCTTCAATCATTTACTTTTACTGCCTGACCTGTAAAAATCGTTCATTTCTATGTTGTCTGAGTTTACGCAATGCATGTTTATTCTCCAGTATTACCAAATAGTGTATATAATCAAGTATGTGGAGTATTCAGGTGACGAGTTCTCCTGAAATGTATGTGTTCACTAAATCCTACTTTTCACATTTGTTGTCAGTTTTAAATTCGTATCGTGGTGATATAAATATTTTCTATGATTAATATATAACCCGTTAGTTTTGATCATGATTGTCAGTATCTTGTAAAATAAATTACACGTTGAATGTTTATTTTTTATACATGGCTTGAAGCACACTCAATTACTAGGTAAGCTGAATAAATCTTGGTTGTATTTATCAGCAACGGTCATTGAGACTCAATATGTATCTTTCTCGTTGTTCTCGACTTGCCAGCTGGAGGGATTCACCTACCTTCGAGTGAGTGTTCTCGGCAACAAAACTGGGACCTAGTACTGATTACTTGAATCGCCAAGATGTTATCCATTGGATTGTTGAGTTGTGATAACCATCTTACATTCAGTAAATGGGAATCTGGTATTTGAAATAAGTAAGTTATCAATGTTCACTGGTATTCAAGTAAATCCAGGTAGTAATTATTAACTGAAACAAAAACTTCCTAGGATTCTCCTCTGTTTGCTGTTAAATACAATAACGAAGTTTTGAGGTACTGCATAAACATCGTATGTGCTAACAATCCCATCTGTTATATATTAATGATGGATAGTGGCTAGTGGTGGAATCTAGGACACGCGTTTCTTCCTATTTGGGACTCATTAGTTGGATGTACTCCCCCTCTTCACAGTAGACGTTTTGTTCCTACGACGACTCGAACAGGGGACCGATCAATTTAAACACCAGAGCGTTATCCACTGTACCACTGAGTTACAAGATCCACTTCTCGAGCGACGGGTAACTTTTTAGTATTTTTGGTCCATTCAACGACGGGATGATACAAGTAACAACATTAATCCCCTGTCTCCTCTAAATAAATGATGAGGAATGGAGAAATCGCCCCTAAGAACCCTTATAAGTATCTATCAATGTAACAGGTATATCTTATCAATATCAGGTGAGTATATTCGGCCGACCTATTGCGATTAGACTAACATTACAATTCTTTAATGTATTCAAGTTACGAGATGTATGAACTATGCACCACACAGCAGAACAAAATATGTTTACTTAAGGCAACAAATCAGTGAAGGTCGGAGATTGCTGAACAGCTATTCTGTGAAATTGTATCACTTTTCTGGAGTATGTAGTCAACAAGTTTCAGGAATAGGATTCAGTGGTCTAATAACCTCAAGTCATATTTGTATTTGCCTATCATACTTCTTTTCAACTACTCACTTTGTTGGGTTGTAATATTAAATAAATCATTTGTATAACGTATGTAATTGGAAAATATTGTTCTAGAATATATTTGACCAAGAATTACAGTATTATGTCTACTTATTGATACAAATGTATAGATATGTCTATGTGAGTTATCAAAATATATTGATTTAGCCGTTAAACAACACTTAGGAGTAGAAATCAGAATAAATACTGAGGAAAATATATAGTATATTCTTAGGAAATCATCCTTTATGCATAATTTATTGTCTCTATAAACAGTGATCGTGTGGTTGATGTAGTTCAAACCTTTAAAATAATCTATCATGTTCCATCTAGCCTTTTGAATGGGATTTCAGGTTTGCTAAGAATCATCGTCTAGATACTTCACTAACCTGTTGGCTATCAGAAATTCACCTAAGGAATTAGTTAATGTTGTACAGTTAGAAAAAATGATAATGTAAAGCCATGCATTTCTTGACCAATATTTTCATGTAGCGAGTTGGCTTTGTGAGTCACTTAACAAGTAATAGCCAATAGGATTACCCGATCATCAAGACTAAACTAGTTCCATTAGTACAACACCAAAGTACAACTAAAATGAATAACAAAATAGAATAAGAAATAGTTAATTTCAATGATAATAATCTACTACTACTATTACTGTAGTAGGCATTGCTGATAAGAATGGACAAAAGTAGTATATTTTGACAGAGTGACAGAATTCATTGAGAATTACCCGCAGTGGGGAAGGATTCCGCCAAGAGAAATGAAAGAGAGAAGGCAGGCGTATGAAAGCAAATCAAGAAAGAAGGAGGAGAGGAAATGAAGCATATTTTGCAAATGATAGTTTTAGTCCAAGGCGTACGATATTTAACGAATACCGTCCCACATTTTCATTTCCAATGTTCTCATGTTGCATAGAATATAGCTTACAGATTTAGAGCTAAGGAACTACTACGGTTTTTGCGTTACAATCAAAAGTGTTATCTTTAAAACAGTCCGAAGGCACTTTTTTTATGTTTCCACTAAACTTTGTCACTTATTCCACATGAAAATACTGTGATATATGCATTAGTAGAATTAACAGAACGATTACTGACCATACTTCGATAAGTATCTTTAAAACTTTATGATTCAAGTAAGCATATATTTTCAGCATAGTCCACTTTCGAAATTATCTACAAAGTCGATGCAAACAGAAAGGATTGCCGTTTCTCAACTTGTGCAAAGTAGAAACACTAAAAGATCATCAATACAAGTATTTTTTTCTTTACATTAATCCAGTAATCGAATGCCGAATATCATATAACTATGGTAAAATCTTTATATTGCTATTCAAGTGAACTTTACTTGTAGATGGAAAAGTTTAAAAATGAACACTAACCTTGCTCATTTTCATAATTTCATACTGTAATTCACTGACAGCATCATTTTTATTTCTTAGTAAATTCTACATTTGAAAAGAGACAAATTTTTCAGAAAATTTCCATTTTGTATAACAACTGATTATGTGTAAATATCAAGACCTTATGCATATAGGTTAATTAAACGCTGATAATGATCGAATTAGGAAGAAGATATGAATTGCCCGCTGATTCGCTTCTCAAAACATCTTTAACTTATTACTCTAGAAATCCGACTGGAACTCTACTCAGAGGATTTGTAATAAGAAGCGGACTAAATCGAAATCAACATTTTAATTCATCAGTCTTTAAAGTAGAAGTTTTCGCTTTCAACCTTTGTTTCATGCTACAGCGTGGTCAGGAAACACCCTGTTGGACAGATTTATCTTACAGTTGACCAGTCAAAATAAATACCCGACTTTCGACCAAAAGGTTTAATATTCTGAGGAAAACTATATATAGATGATGTGTTTTAGTCATGTAAATATCTTATTTACAGTTACTGGTGGTCTTTGTCTACTGATTTTCGCGGCTGTGTGAAGGAAGTACCAAGTTTTGAGGAGGAATAGTCACTATTCGTATCCAGTACAGGTGTCTCATTGCGTTACTAGCATTTCTGTATTTGTGTTATCCTATCAATGACTTCCACGCAATCACTTCACTCCGTTTTCAATCGAATCTCATTTTTGGCTTAATTACTGAATTTTTGTGGTTTAAAATGTCAATATGAGACAGTTGGTTGTTTTACTTTTACAATACTACTTGCTAAGTCACTGCTTTTTTTAAAAATCGGTTATAATTCCTAGATATCTATCTATCGGTTAAGATCAGTTTAAAATTTAGATAGTGACAATTACAGATTTGCCATTTACATGAGAGATGGACAGTGTTAAATAAGTTGAGGAACTTTGAAACTATTCCAATTATTCAAACCTTTATGTCCTGATGTAATATATAAGGTCGACGATTCGAATGCAAGTTACCTAAAGGTAGATTAATCTGCTACGTTTCATAATCTCTGGTTTTTCCCTATCTAGATAAAAGTAAATATACTTTTTTGATGGTGTTGTGTTCACTGAGTTAAATAATTTAGTCGTAGAGCTTTCATAGTCATACTAGACAACATCATCAGCACTGCTTTCTGAAGTTTGTGCTGATGATGTCTAGAATGACTACGAAAGTTCCACGATTAAACCATCCAACTCAGAGAACACAATATCATCAAAGTTACCCTTCTGAGCTAAAAAGATACTTTTTTATTGATAAAAGCAATGAAAAGCTGGCAGCATAATTACTTGACCAACTCTGGTGTTTTGACACGTTACTTGCCATTTATACTTTTCTTTAACTTGAAACACATTTTAAATAATTAAAATGTTTTTCTTATTAAACTGCAGTCAGGTCCTGTCTATCGATGCTTAGATCTATGTAGATCTTCATATTTGAGCACATGTCGAACTCCGTGCTAGTCTTCAAATATCTTTCACTATCATACTACCTATTACCAACTAAGTCCTCAAAGGAATGAAAATAATTTCATAAATAATGGAAACTTTATCCGGTTAAGAGTTAGGTACTAGACAAGAAAGCCAAACTAATCGATGAATTTATTAATATGCACCTACTGTACTGGTTGCAACTTGTATCATGCAAAATGCTACCACTCAACCCAACAGACGATGTCATTCGGAATAGGATTAGACGGATAGATAGGTAATTTTGGTCCTACCAAAATATGATATCAATCCATGGAGTCTAAGTCTGTTGGTCATGGCTATTTAGTATGCCTGGCTGGAGTCATTGAGATGGTAAGAACCAGTCTTTTAAGACGCTAAGTGAAATGGCTGCAAAATCGACTGTAATGGTACGAATGCATTGACACTGTAATGAGTTACAGAAGTGATCTTGACGACATACAAACAGTAGAAGTAGACAATTTCATAAATTAAATACAAATAAGATTCTCTAATAGTTAATGCCAGAAAAGTGAAGCAAGCCATTTCGGTTATTATGACTATCATTTACTGACATTCTCAAAAGTTTTTAAATGTAATTTCTCTGCTTTATATTCTGCATCATTGCGGTAACAGTAGATGTTTTTCTCTGTTAGAAATAACTACTGACCAGAAAGTTAAACAGCCAATAGCTATTGAACACGAAATAAGAAATAAAAACACTACTTACTTCTAAATGTTGTTTAGCTTTTTCAACTGATGCTGGATCACTTTTAAGCGCCATTACAAGTTGAGCAACTTGAGCTTCACGTGTTTCTAATATTTCTGCTAAATATCGCATTTTTCTTTCAACTAGTAAACTTTTTAATCCTATACGTTGTTGTACATCAAGTAGAAGTTTCTCAAATGTTTGTGCTAAATTATCACGCATTTTTTCTAGCTATTTAATCAGATTTTTGGACAGTAAATAACTATAATTAACTTTTATAACAATAGTGTGACAGTAGTAAGAAAATTCATGATATTTATATAATTATATCACACTATTTTGAGATATACTACTCCGAGTAAATTGATAAGGATATAGTAAAAGACAAGTTTGTTAACTTGGAAAATGTTGTTTTCCTCCAAAGACTATAGTTTTTCTAAGAGTTTTGATGCTTCTAAATTCAGTTTTATTGTTGGTGAAATCCCTAGTGTGGAGGTCATATACTTTTTCCACAACTGGAATAATTTATCACTTCAACAGAAATATATACAAACAGTTATTTTGACTTTGTATAGCCATTGATTCATTTCCACGTCTGTTTATTTAAATTCCTAATCTTATTTATTTGCAACTTAACTGAGCGTATCTGAAGATATTTAACCTACTAAAGAAGTTTAGGAAAATGTTTTGGTGGAGGTAGAACACCACCAAGTCGTGATTTTGATAATCCAATAGCTAATTTCTGGTTGGTATTTATCATGAACTGACATCATTTGGAGAAATAATCGAAAGTTGGGAGCACTAAACAGCTGTTTCATCCTAGTGTGAGACTGCTCAGCAGTGCGTAACTATGACCCCACCAGGGAGATGTGGACCGTTGGATTCCGATCCAGTAACTCACTGTTAATGTGCTGGTCATGGGACGCGGAGGTCCTGGGTTCGATGCCTAGAGAGGTGGGGTCATGAGTGCGCACCCCTGAAAAGTCCCATAGTAGGATGAAACAGCTACTCAGTGCCCCCAGATTTAAAATGTTCCTCCAATTGATGTCAATCCATGGTGTAGGTCAACCTGAAACCAATAAATCCTCACAAACCTCAAAATTGAATCAATGGCTTATTGTTTGATTCTATCTGTTCATACAGATTGATTTGAAGGAGTATGTATGATGTCATTTAACTATGAATCAGTACCATTTCGTCTGAAGTTTCAAAAGCCTGTCCAACACATCCAGCGATGTAATGCATACAGATTAGACAGTTTAGTTTTTGTAAAATATTTGACTCATCCTCTCCAATTTTCTTATTTTATATTCAATATAACCACTGATTGAATAAACAGTATTTTCTTAGCGTAATTCTACTAACACTACTTTTATGAACTATATTGACCTGGAAAATAGATTGAATTAGAGGAAAAAATATACCCGGAAATATTTTAATATTTAAACAGTTCAACCACAATGACATTTGAGGCAGCTGTATCTTAGACAACAATAGCTGCTACTTCTACTACTACTGTAGTGAGCGCTGCTGATCAGAATAGATGTATGTAGTATATGTTGAGAGGGCGGCAGAAATCATAAGCATTTACCAGTGATGGCAAAAGACAATGTGAGCTTATTAAGATCAAATCGAGATAGAAGTAGAAGAGGACAAATGAAACACATCATGCAGATGACTGTTTTATCGAAAGGTGTAGAATATTTTATGTTTACTGTAGAACATGTCAATGATAAACATTTTGTTCTGCGTCTCAGTCTTGCTGTTTACTACACAACTATTATTACTTTTATACGAACATTAAAAAAATATGTAAACCTTTCACATGACTTTGTTCACCTAAAGCTGTTTACAATCCTTGAAATTAAACCATATATATTCACATCTCATACGATTACTACTTATTCATACTTACAGCTTCATATCTCACTTTCAATAAATCATAATTATCTTCTAGATTCTTCATTGATTTCAATGTTTTCTTAGCATTATTTTTAGTTAACTTTCATCAGAAAAATACCAAAAAGATTGAATACAAATTATGAGTTTGTAAATTGAAAATAAATCTGTTATTTGATAGGTCTAAGCCATTACCTGCAGGCTTACTTATCTTGGTTGTATCACATCTCATACACCAAAGCATATGCAAACCAGAATATATAAGGTAGCCTTTAGTCAGGAAATTACAATAAAATGTTGAAGTCCTTGATCGTTGTTATTTAATATGTTGTGAAAAACTACAAGTTATGTAGAAACTTACAATTTCCTATGCGTTCTGAAAGATCAACACCACGGGCGTATGAATAGAATTGCATAGAAATAGGATATGAACTAGCTTAATGTATTAAATGAAAGTAGTCACTTATTATGTCATATCACTAATCCATGGAGTTGTTGGTTGTTGGTATGAATCCTGTGGAAACGCTAGACCTTTCAACTAATGTCAAATGGGTCTACAAATCCTTGAAGTAGGACTCTAATTTATATGAACCCAAATAGACTCACTTTGTTTCGTATTCAGAAAGCTGAATAGCTTATTATTCTGCGTTCACTATACTTATCTGCTAAAATATTTTTACTAGTTAAATTAGTATATTTTTTATTTTAGTTAATTATCCCTATTTGTTATGCTGCAAATTGTAGTGACTTGAATTGCTGCGGTCAAATTCGAAATTATACTCCATTATACCGTTTCGCCTATCTGAGAGGAAGCAGCCTAAATTGAAATCAACATTTTAAGTCATCAGTCGTTAAAGTAGAAGTTTTCGCTGTCAACCTTTGTTTCATGCCACAGCGTGGTCAGGAAATACCCTATTGGACGAAATTCTCTCAAAGTTGACCATTCAGAATAAATATCCAACTTCCGACCTAAAGGCTTTATATTTTGAAGAAAACTATATATAAATGATATTTTTTTCAAGTAAATATCTTCTTCACAATTACATGTCGGTCTTTGTCTGGTGATTTTTGCGGCTTATTGGGATGTAAAGTTCTATGGGAGAACAGTCACTATTTCAAGTATCTAACGGAGTGCCCGAACCTTGGGCTACAAAAATTTCCTATCGAATATACACGTCAAATTCTTTGCTTTCAATTTGTTTTTATCCCCTAATTATGTTTTCTAAACGTACCATCTACTCTAGTACAGTTTGAAATGTTTTCAGCTAGCCTTTTCTCGAGTAGATAACAAAACAAAGAAAAAAATGTCAAGTTCGATGGAAATGGACTTTTCGTCCTGCGAAAATTCATCATATTTCCACTCCTTGAACGCTTAGCTTAAGTAGCAGATTCTTGTATTGGCTGAATGAACCATCACCACTAAACTTGGATTTTCTGTACATCTTCGATTCTAGATTGGAAGCTGATCCAACAACATTTAACAGTGCTTTAAGTAGTACTATTAATAACACCACTTGAATGCAGTAATCATTCTGTCTGAAAACATTCTTCTGGTAGTGAACTTGCTGAAAATTCCATACTCTATAAAACAAACTGTTTGGAATAAAGCGGTTATTGTTATTAGTATTATTCGTTTCTGAATCCAAGTGTCTCATTGTGTCAGTAACATTTTCATATTTCATATTATTCTTTCAGTCATTTCCCTATCCATAAATGTATAAAACTTTTCAAATGCTTTTCAACAAAACGCTATGTTCTACTCAAGCGTTTTAGTGTTCTCTGTTTAAAGTATTAACGAATACGACATGGATCTGATGCTGGTGAAATTTTCATACTATCATTAACTGTCTATTCGGAGCAATATTTCAATACTGATCTACTGATACTGAACAAAATAACTCAAAACGTAGTCAGAAGATGAAAGACAAGTAGACAGAGAAATATTCTAGCCCAAAGGTACGGGTTTTGATGATGTGGTAGAAACTACTATTAATATGGACATATTCAAGCCAGTATTCGTAATATCTTTTTGACAGTCATGCAAACCTTTTCTATTCATTGCTTAATCACTCGTACAAATGAGGACAGTATGATGCTTGCAACATTCATTAATTGGAGCAGGAAATTTGACAACATATAAATGTTGATTAGAGGTCTGGTTTTTATGCTAACTGTTTACTTAAGATAACCAATGAAAAGTGAGATCTTTGAAGCTATACACCTCAAATCTTCATATTCCTCAAGTACACCTTAGAAAAAATACACTCGAATGAAAGTCTCTATTTTTTAATGCGCCACTGTCAGTGTACGTCAAATTTATGAAATTATCCATTCATTGAAGATGATTATAAAAGTATCTACATAAGCAATACATGATTCTTAGATAGAAACACTGTTGAATCATAGTTACTCACATAGTTAGTGGGTAATGATTGAAGATGAAATGAAAATTTGGGCTGCTACGGTATTCGAACCAGTGACCATTGGGTCTCCCACTCCATACTCCACCAACTGAGCTACGAGACCTGACTGGTCATTCGCCAAAGTTGATCGAAGTGAAGTAAAAATCTGGTCACCAATCAGACCTCTTAGCTCAGTTGATAGAGCACTGGGCCGGAAACCTGGTGGTCGGTGGTTCGAATCCTACTGCCCCCTAAATTATTATTTCACCTTCAATCATGATGCAGTATCAGTACTAGTCTGTTAAACCACAGCTATTTCAGATAGTCACAATGATAAATAACATAGTTATCAATTTTGATAAGCCTTTTCATTCAAGATAGTTTATAAAAGCTGTACACTCCATTTAAAAACAAGTAATGTATTTGAATGTTATCGTAGTATAAGAGCAAAGCTTGGGCACTGTAGTAGAATGCAATTCCATTTTAGCTGATTTATTAGATGTATCACGCAATGGAACAGTTTTATCTACTGGATTATGTTTCGGACACAATTTATAGTCCATAGTCACACCTTGATGTGACTAGCTTCCAAACTAACCATAGATGAGACACCTACTGGCCATTTTAATATCACATCAGCACTGATATTAAAGATATTTCAAGTGAAAGGACTAAATAATTCTCAATACTTGTCAGGAAAGTTAGTTTAGTTTAAATGTACATGAATATTTGTAGTTGTTGTAATTAGCCTCTCCACTGTTCATTATATCACACACTGAAGTTATCATTTTCTTCTTATCATAAGATCCATAATATGAAAGCCAATTATTTTTTTCCCTTCATAGAGCAGTTCACTCTGTCGTTTGACAGTATGAATTTTCTATTTTTGTCGCATTCTACGTAGACTGGGTTCGAAACAGCTTTTATTTGCGATTAGTCAGTGGCCTTCAGACAACGTTATACAATATCAAACAGTACCTTCATAAATAGGAACTTAATCATGAATAACTTTACTTATACCAGCCGAAGTCATTAAACAACATTTCATTACGTAGTGGTTAATATTAGCCATTTAGTAAAAGTTGTGCACTGTTTTATTTTATGGTATTTAGAAGATTAATTGACTGGCAAAATCAATGTAGAACTTTGCACACACATGAGTTGACTCAAGTTAGCACATTTTCCAGTAGTACACAAAGATAGAGCATCAAGAAATGCACTTTTCAGTACAGTTTAAGCATGTCAGTGAGTTCTGTTGGTAAATCAAGTACTGTGTCTAGTACTCGAGGTACTAGAACGCGCAAGGGTAAGTACCTATTGAAATGAATTTCCCTAACAATTTTTATTGATAGTTGAATTCAAACTAAGTCAGTCAAAACGATATGTATATAGTGGATAGTTGACTAGTTACCCTTCATCCTGTCTCATTGTACAACCGTTGTTGAATACTTGAAATCTGAGTTTTGTGGGACCCAAAACAAACGAAGATTGAAATCGCGAATAGCTCACATATAACCTGTTTTGCTTTGTATACAGAATATTTCGCTGGTATGCGGAATATGTTACTGATACAGCTGTTAAACAAACAAGTAATTATATATATATAGGGTCAGGAAAGATTGATATAAAGCAATTCTTGTTAATCTAAGGAAGCAGTAATTAATGATTTTGATGTTAGTTGGATGGAGGTAATAGGCAGAAAGCTCTTGTCTCAACTTTCATGCTTTTTAGCCCTCGCCAACAAGGCGTATCTGCAACCTGGGAGGAACTTTTGTCTCGTCTAGGATTCGAACGTGATTCTCCCAGGGCTGCAGTCAGAGATGTTACCACTCAGCTACTTTGTCATCGATGAAGTTCGACCATCCTTTAAGACTAGACAACATGAAGCTGGTTACCCTTGAGTGACCAGTCAATTACTGATTTTACTTTGGCCATTTAAGTCACTACCATTTTTCCTAATCATCGAGGGAATATCACTTATCCCATTGTTAGTGATTCGCCTTACTGATGTGTACTGACAAAGAAGCAAGGTAGATTACTGGCTCATAACACTGAGCCCAGTACACTGAAGTATCATATCACGTAGCTTACTGGGCATTTTGTAAATTTGATAGATAAAATTCTATCAGCATTTAATATTTGACAAATACATTGGTAATCATCTGAGGATCAATTCATTCGATATAACTTCTATGTGACAGTATTTATTTTAAACCAGTAAAATCTATAAGAAGTAATATGATACTATAATTATGAAAGCAGTAAAAAAAGCAACTACAAACAAACCAAAGAATAAAAGAGACCTACAATATGAGCACTTTTTTCGATTTGATATAAGCGTTCAATTTGACGTAAATGCACATTTTCTTTATCTTTTTTAGCAAATTCCTCCTTCGTTCGATTTAATTCAGCATAACTTTCATCAAGCAGATGTTGAACACGGGATAACCGACAACGGAGTTGATCTATATTCTCCTAAAATTATTAGTTACAACCATGATAAACAATTAAACGAATAACTTAATAAATAGAGACAAATATTGTTTCTTGGTTCATCTTTTTGATCTGGGCAAGTAGCTAAACTAAGTATCACAAAGTTGTTTAACTGCGGTAGAGTAAATCTGATCTGGATCCAATTTACATACATTCTAATATATTCGAAATGTCAAACAAGTTTCCAGCATATCATAGCTAAGCTCAAAGGAATAATGCAATGTCCAATTACAGTTAAATACATTAAAATTTGTATATCACCCTATTTTGCCGTGGTCATAATTCTTTCCTGAATTTCTCTATTGCTTCCATACTCATCTTTCTCTTATTCAATGATTATTTTTATTATAGTTTACTTGGTTGCGGCTAGCAGAGGAATCTAAGGTGCGCGTTTCGTCTGATTTGGGACTCGTCAGCTGGATGTGCCACCACCCCAGTGAGTGATACTGTTCCCACTGAGACTAGAACCTCGTACCCATCGCTTCAAACGTCAAGGCGTTATCCACTAGGTTACAGAGGCACGACAGCCACCTCTTGTACAGCGGGGATTAGTTATTACTATTTACTGATATGCTTGTGATTCTCCGCCGTTTTGCTGAATCGAACTGTTCAACCTCTGTTGGCATATGGGCTTCTGTGTGGATGACTTGATATTGCCTGAATATTAATTATGATAAGTTACTGAATCCTCTGCTAGCCACAACCAAGTAAATTATCATAATTGATACTTAGGCAGTATCGAGGTATCCACATATGCTAATAGAGGTCGATCCAGTAAAACAACCGAAAACTACAAGCACATCAATAAACAGTAATGATTATTTTTATTGTTTTTACTTTCTGGCTTACTTCCATACGTCTTAACATGTCAATTCTAATCTCCCAATAAAATTCTCATGCTACACGCTGTATTCCGACTACTGATAATAATTAGTATAATCGTGATCGACTGCATACTTTCCTTTTACACTCTATAACTCAGAAGTCTCTTTCTAACTCTAGATATAACTCAATATTTCATCCTGTAACATTCCTTTTTGATGACCTAATGTTGACCTATTAGCCAATAAGAGACTCCTTTGTTTATCTGGTATTACTACAAATACAAGTACTGAAATGATCCTTCTAAAAAGAATTTTCTTCACTGAATACTTCATGTTCTTTGTTAAAAAAACTGACTGGAAAACAAACACCTGAAATTTCAGGAAATCTTCAAGTTAGTCACAGTGAAGACAAATAAGCGATTACTGAGACAACAGTTATCTTTTCGATAATTCATTTCCGTAGCTGTACATTCGTAGGCGTATAATTAAATTTGCGGCCAAAAGCCAAAATCAATAGGACAGTGTAGATGAATATAGGGAAGAATTACAAAAATACTATATAATATGAAAGAAATTCAGGGAAGTTCAAGAAAGTTCGCGAATAAAAGATTGAAAACAATGTCAGCAAGACTGTCTAATATTAGTGTGTTTTCTAGAAAATTATAAGCAAGTTAAAGTCAGAATTTGCAATGTGACCGTTTTAAGGCCATTGTAAGCAAAGTGGTGGTACACACTTCTTTTAAACCGAATGTTAAGGCTTGAATTTGTAGACTGTTAATTCTTTGGCAGCAAGCAAATGTCGTATCGTTGCACCTTTTGAATGATTTGACTTAATGCTGAAGAGGATTTCTAAAGTAACTAAGTACCCTGATAGTCTTGTCTTCCCCCCTTTCAATGACTAAGTTAGTTATTGTTCGCTTTACTGTAATGTGCAAAATTTCACTTACATATCAAATATTAAGTCAATCATGATGGTTTTTGAATCTGTGATAGCAAAGAAATGAAGTGTATTAATGGTATCTAACTCGATAATAGTCATAACAATAGTAATACCAATACTATTGCTGATAAACATGTTAGCATTTATTCCTATGATGATAAGAATAATGACAATACGATGTTACTACAGACATCTAAGCAATGAGTGAATGTCAAAACTTAGAACAATAAAAGCTATATACTGATAAAGAATAAAGTATGTAAATAATCGAACTTTAAGCAAATACAATATGTACGTGAAAAGAGGTGAAGTAAAGGATTGGGGTTGAAAAAGTAAATTTTATCTCTAAAATTTATTATTAGGCTTTATCTGACTAATATTTGAAAAGCTTTGTTTAAACATTTTCTTATCACTAGGACTAGGGTTATTTTCTCTAATCCTCACTGCTTCAGCTATCTATAATATCCAAACACGAAGGGTATTCGAAAATTTTGTGGAGTATGATAAACGATTTAGAACTTGTCTATTACATACTATCAACTAAATACAACAAAATTCTACTTCGTTATAACTTCAGTTGTCTCTTTCTTAATGACAAAGACAGGTGCTCAACTACATGTCTTTTCACTGCTTATTAATTTCTCCGCATGAGCAGCTGATATAGTCAGCACACTCTAAAGCAATGATTGATTTAATCGTTTGTATAAACGTAAAACTTGGTATCTTAGAGTAACTTCTGAGAAGATCTAATCAAAAAAAGTTAATCGCTTGCATTTCATATTCTGATTTAAACAATGGGTATTATCTACTTATAGATAGGCACTGATGAAACCCCACGCATCAGCGTGCTTTTCATCATTGAGATCAGCTGCTGTTCGTAAAGATGAACAGAGAGCATTCAGAAAAGAAAATTTTACTCTGTAACTTTGAGAAGAGTGTATGCAGACTACCGATGGCAGTGTCATCTTTGGGTTTAATGTTCGGTGAAAGGCCATTTCATAAACTTCCTTCTTTTTATAATCTCATCTACAAATCTGGATTAACAACCATTCTGTGAGATTGTTTCGCAAAGATTTTCTAATTGGTGCTTTACGGTGTCATTAGGTATATTTTCCTGAACCCTTTGGAGAGACAGGATAAATTTTTTTCTTCCTAAAGATACTTAGGTTTGGGAGTTGATCAGCTATTTGTTATAAGTAGGCTTTCTTTAGATGGTTATGGAGTTACGGCCTATTGGTCAACACACTTGGCTTCCAACCAGTGGGTCATGGTTTTGAATCCAGTTCCACCTACTGAGACATGAATATCATTAGCCCTCAGAGAACAGGTGTAGCCCATTGTCTACTCCAAGGAAGTACAAGAGGTTTTCGAGTGCATTTCGATTTCCTGTAGATGGGTGGGAGATTTTTGTTTTGACCTCTTCTAAACACCGGCACTAGTATATCTTGTGAGATAGTCCTATCAACAGTAAGCTATGCTATGAAGGTCTTACTCAATAGCTTCATGTTTTCCAGTCTCTTTATTAGTTTTTAAGTAATATCCCTATTTTAGTCAATACTGTTTTGAACTTTACCATTTAGCTAAATACAGTTAAAATTTCAAAGTCTTTCCATTATAAGGATTAATGCCTACACAACTATATAATCCAAATGACAGAGAAACTGAACACTCTTCATTTTCTTGATCATCCTGGTTGAATGACATCAGGTCATAAGAATGAGACAGACTTTAGTTCTGTTCTTCTTTGCTTTAACTGAACTATATTAGAAACGCTCGTCAACAATGCTATCTGCAAAAAAGTCTTCATTATTGATCGAAATATGACAAAGAACCACTAGAAACCTGGAAGTAGTGGATGGCTGTTTCATCATAGCTTGAAACTCTTTACAAGTCTTCACCAGTGACCTCCTACGGGGTCGAACAGAAGACCGTCAGGTTTAGCGGCTGTTCATTGGTCTCAAAAATCAATAGTTTTCTCGCTGGTATCAGTTTGTAATGCAAACTATTTTGAAACTATTCAGTTCCTCACAGACTAACAAACTTAATACTTTATATAAACTATGATCAAGATTTGATCGTATAGTATGGTAAATATTGGGAGCTGAGTAAAAGTTTGATATTAGATATAGATTGTATTTGTGTAAGTCACAGCGGGTTTGAAATCAAGTAATTCCAACGTTTCGCATGGAAGTCTGGTCCCAGCTACTTCAGGGAAATAATCAAAACTAAAATATCAAGGATATATAAATGAATTCACAAAACGTGTATTTGAGTACGTATTGTCATTGTTTTTTTCTAAATTACGATAACTCATTCAGTGTGAAATTGTATGTCTTTGTTGTATGGCCTATGTATGTTACATGTGTATGTATATATGCTTACTCCAATTCATATTCGTCTTAATTGTAAATAACAGACGAAAAGATCACTGGTGACATAGTCATTCGGTAATTTTACAAAGTGCAAATTGAAAAGGATGAGGTAGATGTGTATATAATTTCAGTTGGAATAACGTAGTGAATAGTGTTAGCGAATTCTCTTTGCATTAACTCACCGGAATTGAGTGGAAATGAGTGATGATGATGATGATGATGATAGTAATAATGAATCAAATCAGTACAGGTTGAGTTGCTGTTGACGCTGAAATAATGTAGTTGAGACTAGTGTTGACGGTAAATGTTTTGAGTCACTCGTTCTGGTTACTAATTAGTAATTGCCAAGAGGCAGCTAACTGTACTCCATCTCGTCTGTTCAAACTGTCTGGATTCGCCCATATATGTAGGGCTTTGGCTGCCAGTCTTTCTTGGTATGACCCATAACCCTTTTTGTCAAATTCAATTTTATGTCCCATTTCTATGGAGTATAACGCGGTCTCAGATTTGTTTTCTAGTTTCTTAACCTCTGCTGAGGTTTTTGCGATCTGCTTTAAGCATAGTTAATGCTCATTGACCCTCACATTTACCTGTCTGGCTGTTTCCCCTACATATACTGCAGTACAGTCTCCGCATTTGATTTCATAGAGGCAGTTCTGCTGATTTTGTTTAGACAATACAACTTTAACTTTCATTAAGTTAGGACGTAGGGTATTTGTTGCACGGAAGTAAACTCTTATGTCATGTTTGTTGACGATCCTTCTTATTTCTTCTGAAGTCTCCTTTCGATATGGGATTATGGCCATGCTTGTCCAATTCCTCTGGAGGAGTTTCGGCACATCCTTA